GAGATTACAAGCAGGGGACGACTCACTCGCGCTCCTGTATATAGCCTACAGCAGAAACAACACGTGAGGAGGTAAATGGCGATATCAGAATCGGTACTCTGTATCGACTGATCACCATGACAAAGAATTGGTACTCTGTATCGTCTGCACAAATCCTGATCAGAGCATCCCTATTTAAGATTTATTTAGGCTACTGCTGAAAAAAAAAATACTATTTTCAATGTAACGTAAAGAAAGTGTGTGTTTATTAAACTATTAATATCAAACTAATTTCTTCATGACTGATAGCATACATAACTGAGGATGTGGAGGATGTAACATTAGTAGCTACTGTAGGGAGTTGAAAACTCTGCATTTGTCTGTCTTCAGTTAATGCACTTTTGAAAGATGTGTAGCCAGATTGCTTCTGTTTTCTGCTTTTACAAAAAAAAACAACTTGTCGCATTTGTTGCAATGAGTATTATCGTGTCCACTCAGGTGAAATATTTGTTTCTCTTTACCATCGTCATTCTATCTGCCTTTGACAAGAGACGTCACCCTCGCAAACGCTGACTTGCATTATCGTACTAGCCGCTGTTTGTTTTTAAACCATGTTTCATTACACACACTGCTGTTTGTAAGTTAACATTAGCATTTACATGGTTTTAGTGTCTTTCACAGAGTAAATACAAAGATTTAGGAAAGGATTAAAATAATTCTGTGTATGCTGAACATGTTCTTTATATCATGTTTTAATCTTATATTATATAAAACACAAGAAGAGACACAGATCTTTCAGCCATTGCACATGTTTATTTACAGGCAGGATTGTGCAGTGGGTAAAGGATGAGTGGGATATTATGGGGAGGGACGATGATCAGCATCAGCACCATCTGTTGTTGTGGTTGTGTTTGTTGATCCACAGGTGCTTCAGTTTAGGATCATTTCTGTTATGCTGGTGCAGCAGCTCTCTTTCTCTCCTCTCCCTCTCCTTCTGGAGATTCCTCTCCACATTCCCTTCACCTTCCTCTCTGCCCAGGTGAACAGATTCATCTGCACTTTTCTTTTGGTCTTTGGCTGCTCCGGGACGTTTTCACTGAGCTTGCTCTCAGCCCCATCAGCAGGAGACACGCAGAACAGAGAGGTCATATCATGTTCAGCCTCAGAGTGTCCAGCTTCACTGAGGTCCTCAAACTCAAACACTTCACTCGTCCATGATTCATCATCCAGCACCTCCTCCTCCTCCTCCTCCTCTTTCCAGGCAATCATCTGTCTTTGGGATCTTTCAGGCTCCAGGAAGGTCTGGATGGTCTCCCCAAACTCGCTTTCCTCATCCTCAGTATCTGAAAACATGAGCTCTGAAGCAGATACAGACCAGGCAGAACCTGAAGACTGAGACTGCAGTGAGCTGAGAGAACACACTGATCTCAGAGGAGCACGAGGAGGAGGAATAGGACACACTGTGAGGAACAGCTTATCTGGTGCAGGAACAGGACGTGGATAAACAGCCAGCTGTTTAGGAGGATGCACTTGAATAGGACACCCAGGAAAGACAAACTCATGCTCAGGTCCTCCCACAGGAATGGGTCTCAGAGGACTCACTGAGGAGGATTGGTGAGAGAACAGCTCATCTGGTGCAGGAACAGGACGTGGAGGAACAGCCAGCAGTTTGGGAGGGTCCATATTAAAAGGACACCCAGGCAGGACAAACTCTTGCTCAGATCCTTCCACAGCACACATCTGTGGTCTTTTCACTGGCGGCAGGGGCTTGAATCGAGCGGCTGGAAGGATGAAGTCTCCGGAGTCACTGGGAAGCTTTGGGGGTTTTCTCTTTATGGGCTTTAAGACAGAGGGTCTGGCAGGAGTCTGCAGGGCTTTGACCTCTCTTTTAGCCCCCTTGCGGCGTTTCTTCCTGCACTTGTTGGGATTAGCAGTGAAGTTGCAGGCCTCGCTCTCTGAACATTTATTTACTGCCGCCAGTTCTTGAGCTGCACATTGCTGTGTCTCCCTTCGATGCCAGAAAGGGATAAAACAGTCAAACAGCTTTTTAAATGCACTGCTGAACAGAGCCATCCTGAACACTGAAGGCTGAAAATGAGTTGGTCAGTAAGTCACAGAAGTAGCTCTCAATCACTCGACCACTCAAACACCAACAACAGTTTAGAATGTGAACTGCAGTTTCTGTATTCCAGAACAGAATTCTGTTTATGACATCACACATTCTGCTGAGCTCCTCTGAGTGACACTTCTGAACTATGACTATAGAATATGATATATTGAGTAATATGTTATATTATTTATATTTTATTTGATTATTATATATATATATCATATATAATAATTATAATATAATTTTGTATTATATATGTATGTTACTTTTTTATGTAAACTTTATAAATGCTTTGGCATTTGTAACATTTGTCATGCTGATAAAGCATATTGAAGCAATATTATTTTGAATTGAATTGACTACAGAGTACACATGACGTTTCACTTGTATCTTTTTGAATGGGGAAAAGTGTAACTGTCAATATGGTGCATAAAGCCCTGCCTTTTAGTACAAAAGCCAATTATCGATTGCTACAAACTGACAAAACTCTGGGGGAGGGGTTCAGACCAGACGTGAGTTTCAGCAGATTTTGATCGTGATTTGGATGTTTAGAAATGAAACTAAAGACACAGCTGCTGTTGTTTACTTGTATTGCTGATTCCTAATATGAAATACAATCTTAAGCTTGGCAAGCAATTTTGGAGAATTTGATGTTTCCCCATTCAAACAGAATGCCTGAGCACACAGTCCGAGAGGTGTTTCAAAGATGGCCACAGAGTGCAATGACTTGCCTTAAAAGGGACTTTGACTCTGAGAAGCAGCAAATGCTTACATTCATAGCAGTGGTGTAAATGAAACAATGCTGTTTCCAAACACTCCTTCAAAATCTTTTTACTTAATTGACAAAAACACAGCGGTGATCAATAACCATTAATGCAGAACAAGGGAAGACAAAAACCTGTTGTGAACATTCAAACATTCTGAAATATATGATTTTTCTTAACCCTTTGTCCTTTGTTAAAAAAAAATCATTTAATACATTTTTAAATCATTCGACTATTTATTGATTTCTCTCTCATTTATTTTTTATGAGTCAAAATTTCCGAAAAGGTACAAAAATATAATAATAAAAAACTTTTCAACTTAAGGGAAAAAAATGCTCATTAAAACTCAATGAAATGGCACAGCCTCTCAAAAAAATGTTACTACACATCACAACAATGTGTAGTGCAAGCTCTGTGATTGGTCTGCTTGGTAGCGGTGATGGGCATGGGTGGTGCTGAGAGCTGCAAGCCCGATGGAGCAAGTGTTTACTAGAGTCCCATCTCTGAATGAGCGAGTTCTAGCTAGTTGTAGTATTTAGAAAAAACAAAACACCTGCGAAGAAACTCAACACAGAGGAACATAAGAATCTACATGCCAGCTAGCGTGTCAGAAGTGTTACTGCAAAGCTACACAAACAGTACGTAGAAGTATACGACAATCACTGCACGCAGATGTGTAAATCAGCCCTATATTGCTTTAAGACCGAGCAAAACTGAGCAAAAGCTGAAATTATTACTTCTATGTCACATTATTAACTTCTTCACTGAACTGTTGTACACAGTCTGTATCACATCTGCACTCATTCTATTCTACAGCGCAAGCTTACGTGCTGAGTGCAACTTTTTTCCACATAGAGTTTATTCTGTGAAACACCACAAGCCTATTTTTTGTCCAAAAATGCAGATTTAACTTTTTTTTCTTTGTGTGGTGAATTGTCATGTGTGTATATTCATCAAGAAGTCAAAATGATAACGTCCACCTGAGAGACACATTACATGTGGGTGTTTTAATTTGTTTTTACACATAAATTTGTCTGTTTGTTAGCATAAATAAGTACACCCCTCACTGATCTCTCATGTAAATTAATATGTTAATATTAGTAAATTATTAAAATTTTATGATGCTTTACAATAATATCATTGTGTATAAATATTAGATTAGTCAGCATCAAAGAAAAAAAATGACTAATCTATCAAAGATAACAGTCCAAAAATGTTTACACCCAATTTTGGGAAAAACATTAAATAAATTTTAATAAACAGGAAAAATCTAAAGAAACATTTGGTTAAAATGAAGTCTGCAATTTTTATTTTTGAGAACTCAATTGAATTAAAATGTATTATATTTCTGTTGCTAGTTAGGTGACTATAAATATATCTTCATTCATATCTTTTTATACTTTAGCTTTTCAACTTTTCTTCGTGTATTTTCATGGCCCTATGGTTCATTTCTAAAGCGAAATACATGAATAAAAATTCAGGAGTCAATGTTAAAAATGTTCAGATTTTCAGTGACTAGCAACCAATGTTGGCATATTTACATAAAACGTTCACATACAATTTTTCACATATAAATTTTCACACATTCAGTCTGCTGGAACTATGTATTGTGTTGCCTTATATCCTAAGAGCCATGATGATTAACTGACATTCATTTTAATGTACTCTGGAAGTGAATCAACATCTGTTAAATAAAATGCCCTACTACAGTCACACAGGTGCTTTCACCTAAATTATTAGCTTTTGCTTATTAATTTATTTAGCTTTAAATCTTAATATCTCTTTATATTTTGGCTTTAAACTTTTCTTTTTGCATTTACATAACCCTACTGTATATGGTTAATCTCTAAAAAAAAAAAAAAAAAATAATTCAGTGTGGCTTGACGAGTAAATTGTTAAGAATTTACAGATTTTCAGTGATTATCAAGTGTTGGGCACTTTGCATCTTTTTCACATATAAAATGGGCAAGTAATTCTGGAACTATTTTGTATCAAAATGTACTTAGTGTCAAAATTCATACACTTGTACATGCATCATCTGTTGAACTTTTTAAAATATGCAGATAAAATTTCTTACCACAGTCACACAGGTGCTTCTACTTAATTTATAAGTTTCTGTGTATGACAGATTGTGGTTGTGTTGTGGTTCTACTTCAAAGAGAACTATTAAATAGAGTTTTTGTACGGCTTCTCATATACTTTGTATCACTGGGCTCCAACTCTCAGAGCACAATAATAGAGAGCTGAATCTGACAGAGTTACACCAGTAATAATGAGTTCAGTGGTGGTTTCTGATGTTGTAGACCGAATGCGAGGATCATCAGGAGTCGCCACACCACTCCATGATCGAGCATCTTTCCATATTAAATATTGAAGTTCTTTGTTAGTATATTGTCTGTACCAGTAAAGCCTAACATATCTGCTGCTTGTATCATACGAGCAGCTCATTGTAGCAGTCTCTCCCTCTTTACTGATGGCATTTTCACCCTTATTTGGTCCAATCTGATCTGCATTCGTCACACCTGCAAACATGAACATGAAAATATACTTACATTTGAAACATTTCTGCTGTTAATTATGTTAGAGATTTGTTTACCTGAAGTCATGAGTAAAAGCAGAAGCAAGTGTGTGTTCATGTTGATGAAGTCAGATCAGTTGTGTTGAGTCTCTCCGCTTTGTGATGCTCTGAGTTTCTGTCACTCAGGAACTTCCTGCTGTCTGTTGATGGAAAAATACAGCAATATAATATATAAATAAAACAAAATATTTGAAGAGTATCACTAATTGAGCTTACAGAGCACAACTGTTACTATCGATAAATCAATGAGTCAAGTTTATTGTTGTTGTATTGACAATAAAAGGAGGTTGAGAAGCAGATCCATAAATACAATATCTGTTATTTGTACAAAGTAAATAAAAAGGGAGGAGCTTATGATGTGCTAATAAACCTTGATAATATTAATATGTTGTGCATATCGCCCTCTTTTGGTTGCGTAAATGTATTACAAAAATTTGAATGATGGATAATCTTTAAAAGTTGTTTCTTTAAGAACAATTGGCATGATTTTTTCTTTCTTTCTTGCATGTTTTAGTTTAAAAGTTGTATTTATGCATGCTTATTACAGCAATTACACTTTAACTTTCAGAATATATAAAAAATTAGCATTAGTTACAAAGTCAAGAGTCTTTGAAAGTTTTTTAATCAGACAGTTCTCAGTGTCCGTGTTGTTGTTTTGTGAATGTGAATCATTCTGTGCATCTTCTAGCTGTATTCTGGTTGTATACCTTCACCAGCAGTTTAAACTATTGTAATAGTTGTAATATTGTAATGTTTTCCCTCAACATGTTCTAAAAAAACACAGACAACTTCAAAAGACGTTAATATTAGGTTAGATTTAGGTCACCAGCATCTGAGAACAATGTTATTTTGATGCCCAATAGCGAGGTGAAGTGATGTTAATATTTTGTTGATTTCAGGTTGTGTTGGAAAGTGACCCAAATCCAATGTCGAGCCCATAATGTCTTAAACCAGCATCATAGTGAAATCTAATAATGACATTTATTTATCAGGTTCAGTATATGGCAACCAAAAGCCAACATCTAATAGACGTCTTAGTGGTATCATTGGTTATCATTTGGAGCGGTGACTCAAAACTTTTGCCTGTATAAAGTAATGTTGGTTAAAGCTCTGAACCCTGCTTTCAGTCTTATTAAACTAATTCTAGAAGTTGAGGTGGATTTTGTGCTCTTTGGGGTGTGAGGTTGATCTGTATTTTCGGGTTGTGTGTGTGTGTGGTCTGCTTGTGGACTTGCATACCATTAGAAGAATTAAGGTACTATATAGAGTGAGAAAGGGGAGATGGCCTGAGTAAACAACTAAGGGTCATAAGAAATGGATGAGAAGAGAGCGGGAGAAAGCCTGAGTAAACAACTTAGGTGTCACAGGAAATGGATGAGAATAAAGCAACACATGTGGAAACAGTTAAGTATGGATGGATAAGATATATGGTTATCAGGTTTGGGTCAGGGGTTAAAACTAGGTGGGATCTTGTGTGACAAATATAGAACGATGTGAAAAACAGCTGCAAAAGAGTAGGCCCTATATAAGCAGGCCAGAACATCAGTGAGACAGAATTTTCTGGCAGAGAATGCTACTGGGGGTCTCCTGAAAAATCTCCTTTGTTGTCGACAGTAAAGTATACTCTTCTGATATTCATAACCTCCAGACTGAGTTTGAGTTATTTAAGAGAAAAACTGAAAACCACGACAATGTCAAAAAGCTCTTAAAACGATTGTGCTATGTTTGTGGTCTAAAAGAAGAAACTGTATAAAACAATATAATGTTAACTTTATTGTTTTCTTTGTTTTCTGAACATAAATCAATTATCTTTGATCGATTTTTGTTTATAGTCCAATAATATTGTTTGTGATATACAGTAAAGTATGTCCTCATCCATTAAAGATGGTTTTGTTTATTTTGTTTGTTCTCGTCTTTCACTTTTTTTTCTCCTTTCTCCCGCAGCTTTCAGCAAATACATTGAATCACTTACCACATATAGGTGTTTCAACAAGTGTGCACATATTTGTGTGAATTATAGATTGTGGGTTTGATGTGGTTTTACATCAAAAGGGGAAAATAAATTAGAGTTTTTGTACGGCTTCTCATATACTTTGTATCACTGGGCACCAACTCGTAGAGCACAATAATAAAGAGCTGAATCTGACAGAGTTACACCGCTAATAGTGAGTTCAGTAGATGAGTCCGATTTAGCGATTTGAAACCTTCCAATATTTGAACCTGCAGAATGTATTAAATACTGAGGTTCTCCATTGAGATACTGTCTGTACCAGTAAAGCCTAACATAATTGCTGCTTTCATACGAGCAGCTGAGGGTCACAGTCTCCTCTTCCTTTATGACTGTGGAATCTTTATTTGGCCTAATCTGGTCTGCAGTCATCACACCTGAAACAAAGAAATGTTATTTCTCACTGTTTCAAACAAAATGACCTTAGCATATCTCATTAACCCCACTGTGATGAATCAAGAGTGCTATTGTACCTGGAGTCAGAATTAAAATGAGCATCAGTTATTTCTCCATGTCTGCAGTCAGATCAGGTGTGTGTATAGATGTTCTCTGAGTTGTATATCTGTGGTACTGTAGTAGTCTCTGCAGCTTCACACATACTAACTGAACTTCCTGCTTTGTGTAATGAAACTTGCTTTTGATTAGTCAACATCAATATGATTAGGTGCTTTACCATATGACATGACATAAATTAAACCTTATCTATCGTGTTTAATAATGGCATGAGTTTATGTTAGTGCTGTCAGTGCTTGTTTTTCCAGTCTGTGGGTCACATTTACTGTAACTATTTCCTATTCAGTCTTTAGCATTAAACAACTTCCTGCTGTCTGTGAAATGCTGCTGTGTATTTGCATCTTTATCCACTTAGAGTTCATTCTGTATTAACACAACAAGAGGTGTCGACCATAAATGTTGATTTAAGTCATTTGTCTTTGTGTGGTGAATTGTCACAGATGTATATTTATTAAATAACCAGTCCAAATGACAAATTTGATCTGAGATTGAGTCAAATTACGTGTGGGTAAAAATTACTTTAAAGTATTTTAATTTGTTTTTACACAGAAATTGGTATGTGTTGTGATCTCCCTGTCATTCGGCCAAACTACAAATCCCATCATGGCCTGCTGTCACACCGGTTTCAGTTCATCATTTCCTTATTACAGACACAGCTGAAGGACATCATCACTGATTACATGAACAATATACACCACTCACACACATCCAGGGCTGAGTCTTAATTCCTTGTAGTGATCATTATGAAGCATTTTCACTGCCTTGTCTAGCCGTGTTTTCACCTGTTGTTTGTTTACACCGTTTTAAGATTGTTTACCTTCTGCCTCGACCGCTTCGCCTGTTACTTCGTTTACCCTTTTGGATTGTCCTTGTATACTAAGGGTGTCACGATCCTCCAAATCCTCGATTCGATTACATTTTCGATTCTAAAGGCACGATTCGATTCGATTTTCGATTATGAATAATTAATTAATGACCAATTAATTATTTGTAGCCTACCGTTTAAACTACCTGACCTGCATGGTCTTTGTTTTACCCATAAACAAATCATATAGTAAATGAATAAAGGCAAGATACACACATAATTACCACCTGTCAATCACTTTTTTCTGCGGGACTCGTGAATAGGCAGTGATCTGTGTCGTTATAATGGCGTCTGTAAAAAAGACGCACAACCAACAGGAACCAGCCAACAGTATCTGAGGTGTGCGCTAAAATGACTAAGTACAAGTGAGTGAAAGATTGAAGCAGTCCTCTGACTGCCTGGACCTGCTGTCTCAAGCTCAGATGGCTGTGTGTGCGTCTGTGTCTGTGTGGTCACGTGATGTGCATTTTCAGAGGTAGAGAGGAAGGAGAGCTGCTCAGAATTGCTACACCTCACTGTGAATGTCAAATCGTTGTCGTTCTAAAATGCCTTTTAAAAACAAAGACAGTGTAAACAGGGCCTGAGCGTGTACTTTTCGCGAGAGGATTTGCAACGGGGGCGGGCGGAGGATCGCGATGCCGGTGTTGTCTATCGGACGAACCGTACGTAATACGTACATAGCAGAGCTTGCAAAACTGTTTTTTTTTTTTGTCGACAACACAAACGTTGTCAACATAACTCACTGGAAATCCAAAATGCTTCCACACCGGCGACTTCATTAAAAGAAGAGAGGGTTTAAGCTCTGTCGACAGGTCTCCTGCTTCTGCAGTTTAACAAGCACTTCAACAAGCCGGTTGTTTCAACAAGCCAAGCTGAAGTGACATGGGGGCGTGGCAGCATCGACATTTTTTGATTTGATAATCGAAATTGAGCATAAATTTTGATCGATTTTGATTAAAAATCTAAATCGTGACACCCCTATTGTATACCTGTCTGCTTTTATCCTACAAGCCATGCTGATTATCTAATATTACATCATTATAATGTACTCTCTAAGTGTCACAATTCATACACTTGTACATGCATTGTCTGTCGAAATGTTTTAAATATCCGGATAAAATTTCTTACCACAGTCACACAGGTGCTTTCACCTAATTTATAAGCTTTTGTGTATGACAGATTGTGGTTGTGTTGTGGTTCTACTTCAAAGAGAACTATTAAATTAAGTTTTTGTACGGCTTCTCATATAATTTGTATCACTGGGCTCCAACTATCAGAGCACAATAATAGAGAGCTGAATCTGACAGAGTTACACCAGTAATAATGAGTTCAGTGGTGGTTTCTGATGTTGAAGCCCGAATGCGAGGATCATCAGGTGTCCCAGTGGCACTCCATGATCGAGCCTCTTTCCATATTAAATATTGAAGTTCTTTGTTAGTATATTGTCTGTATACCAGTAAAGGCTAACATATCAGTCTCTCCCTCTTTACTGATGGAATTTTCACCCTTATTTGGTCCAATCTGATCTGCATTCGTCACACCTGCAAACATGAACATGGAAATATACTTACATCTGAAACATGTCTGCTGTTAATTATGTTAGAGATTTGTTTACCTGAAGTCATGAGTAAAAGCAGAAGCAAGTGTGTGTTCATGTTGATGAAGTCAGATCAGTTGTGTTGAATCTCTCTGGTTTGTGATGATTGTG